ATGTATATATATACTTTTTTTTTTTGGAGAGGTTTTTTCGCTATAGGGCGTGTGCACTTTCCAGACAGACAGAGAGAGATATAGAGACAGAAAGTGAGAAATCATCCCCCAGGGGGGATGGTCACACCATAATCCCTTCTCCTCCATTCTCCTCTCAGGATCTTGGGCATGCACGCACACGCGCCCAGTGTGAGTTTTAAGCCACCGGGTCCAGGCCTTGAACCACAGTCGACTACGTGGGAGTCCAGTGACATAGCCATTATGCTAACTGCTGATTCCCCAGGATTATATTTTTTAAAATCCAGAAAGGAGTCCATTCTTCCTAGTTCATCACTTACTAATTTTTTATTATTATTATTTATTTTTTGAGAGGTTTTTGCTATAGGGCGCATGTGCTCCCCAGAAAGACAGAGACAGAGAGACAAAAAGCAAGAAATCATCCCCCAGGGGGGATGCCCACACCACAATCCCTTCTCCTCCATTCTCATTTTGGGATCTTGGGCATGCACGCACATGTGCCCACTGTGAGTTTAAGCCACTGGATCCAGAATTTGAACCACGGTTGACTACATGGGATTCCAGTGACATAGCCATTATGCCAACTCGGGGTCCCAATCACTTGCTAATTAATCAATAGTTTAGAAACCATAATTATTAAAATTTATTTGTTAAATAACATTCTAGAATTCCCTTTTGTTATACTTGCTACAAGATTCAAATATTGGGACCAGAAGTTAGCGTAATGGCTATGTCGCTGGACTCCCACGTAGTCAACCGTGGTTCAAGTCCTGGACCCAGTGGCTTAAACTCACTCTGGGTGCATGTGCGTGCGTGCCCAAGATCCTGAGAGGAGAATGGAGGAGAAGGGATTGTGGTGTGGGCATCCCCCCTGGGGGATGATTTCTTGCTTTCTGTCTCTCTGTCTCTGTCTGTCTGTGAGCGCACGTGCCCTATAGCGAAAACCTCTCCAAAAAAGAAGATTCAAATATTTTCTATTATAACAGACCATTTAGTATGCTTTCTGTCATTTGCACAGAGCTTAGGGGATGGTCAAATCTAAGAGGTATTATCTACATTGTATTCTGTGGTAAATGGCCCCACAGTACTTAGTTACTGCAAACTGTGTGACAGATACAGTACCACTGTATTTGTATGATTAATAATTCTCTGAGGCTGGCTATAACCTCATGGTTAAGGGAGCTGGATCCCGTATGGCCAACTGTAGTTCAAATCTCAGTCTCAGTGGCTTGAAAAACATGCTGGGCATATGTGTGTATGCCCCAAATCCTGACAGAATGGAAAAATGGAGAAGAGATTGTGGTGAGACTATACTCCACTAGAGGATGCTTTCTTTCTCTCCTTTTTTTTTTTTTTTTTTTTTGGAGAAGTTTTTACTATAGGGCGCGTGCGCTTGCCAGACAGACAGAGAGAGACAGAAAGATAGAAAGCAAGAAATCACCCCCCAGGGGGGATGGCCACGCCGCAATCCCTTCTCCATTCTCTTCTCGGGATCTTGGGCACGCATGCACACGCGCCCGGCGTGTTTTAAGCCACCAGGTCCAGGATGCGAACCGCGGTTGACTATGTGGGAGTCCAGCGACATAGCCATTACGCTAACTGCTGGTCCCTTTCTCTCCTTCTTTCTGACTATCTTTATCAGATAAGCACACATGCCTTCTGGAAATACAAAACAAAACAAAAAACAAAAGAACAAACAAACAAAAACAAAAACTTCTCTGATTTGTTTGTATGAATGATAATATTGGTTAAAATATATATTTTTAAAGGAAATGTAATTGTGCATTTGGAGGGGTTTTTTTTCCAGTGAAAGAATTTAAAAAACATCCACACATTTCATCCTTAATTATTTTTAATTTTACTGAGCCTTTTGTTATTATTTTAAAGTATCTTCACTCTAAATTTCTAAATCATTCAAACCTAAAAGATAAAGCATTATGTTCTTCCTGGATAATCTTTTCAGGAGTGGCCAATCAGTGGAGGAGCCTGGAATCTTGGAGCGCAAACGTATCCAGAAATTATTATTACTGGGTAAGTGTGATGTGTTTTGTGAGTTATAAGTTTATAAAGCTGTTTATTGAGTCTCAATACTTTCCTATAACTATGCTTTATGAATACTAACAATTTAAGTAAAAGTAAAAATATAAGAAACAGCTTATCTATCCAAAGATTGAACTCTTGATGGGAAATAGAATCAAATAATTGGAAACAGAATTATAACAAAAACTTGGGGTTGGCAGGCAGCGTGGTGGTTAAGGGCACTAGACTTCCACATGACCCCCCACAGTTGGAGTCCCAGACCTTGTGTCTTGCTTTCTCACTTTCTCTCTCTCTCTCTCTTTCTCTTTCTCACTCTGTCCTTCTCTGGTCAAATTAAAACAAATAAATGAATAAATAAAGTTAAATAAAATAATTCTTAAAAAAAGAATTTTAACAAAAAATTAAATATAGATTATATTAACAGGAGATAGTTAAAAGGAGAAATCAGGAAATATTAGTCAGGGTAGACTCTACTAATAAAATAGAGTGATGTACTTATCCCTATTCTTTCCACTAAGTCCAATAAAAACCCTGGACATTATTTATAAAACAAACAAATAAGGTGACTGGAAAATATGGAGCAATGTTGGACTGGGTAGGGTCCTAAAGTCCTAAAGAATGGCATGGTAGTGAGTTCCTTAGATTTTCTTTATGTTTCCTAGACCCTAGAATTAAAGTTGGAGAAACTAGTAACTTGGAACTGTGAATGGGTAGAGAACAAAAAGAACCCAACAAAAGCTAGCTCTTCTAAGTCAAGGAATGAATGAAGGAGTGGCCTATTAAAGAATAATTTTGAAGAAAATAATCTCTCTACTTGAGTTAAACACTACACATATACACAAAACCATGGTCCCACTCAGCCTATTCAAGCAAAGGCCAAGTGGAGAGCCTAGACTTTCACCTTCCTAAGGCTGTAACCAGGTGCACTAGCTTCCCCAGAAAAGGCAGAAAGCAGGGACTTTTAATCCAAATGGGTGAAATCCTTCACTTATGGTGTCAGTGAAAACCATATGTGGAACTTAAATTCTCACCTCTGCCCACAAATAGTGAGAACCACCACTCCCCAAACCCTATGTCAACAAAAATCAAGTGAAAAGGAGTGAAGAAAGAGAGCAGGCTAAAAAATTATTTAAGGAAACAATGGGAGAAACCTTAGCAAATTTAGTGAAAGACATGAACCTACATATTCTAGAAAATGAACAAACCCAAGAAGTCCATATCAAGATACCTCAAAGTTAAACTTCCAAACATCAAACATCAAGAGAAAAATCTTGAATGCTATAGAGAGAGAAGTCACCTTATCTATAGGAACAAACCAATTTGAGTGACGCAGATTGCTTATCAGAAACAGTGGTTTTAAGAGTCTGTGCCCCAGATGTTTTTGCTTAATCCATGAAGTGTTTTCTCATCTGAATGTCTTTAACTAGGCTAAAACACCTTGGCTTATGCCTCTACTCTGATTCTAGTACCAGTGTTCTTTATGCCCTACCCTTTGTCCATCCTCTTGTGCCGTTCAAGTAAGAAATAAGGACAAACTCAACTTTACTGATCACTGAGTTGTTTAATAATTTACTGAGTCCTAGACTCCATCTAAGTTTTTCTAAATTGTACTTTGTGATTTGGCCTATAAACTTGAAATTTTTAAACTCTTTATTTAATTCTTAGATACAATAAAAATCTAAGAAGCTCTGCATATAACCTTTTTAGAGAATTTATCATATACTGCTCATCATCTCCCTGTCTTCCGTGCATTTGACTGATATTTATGTAATACAAAATAAAATTACACAGTAAAAAAAAGAAAGAAAAGAAAAATATTATTTTCATAGAAGGAAACCTAAGAATTTTTCAAGTGCTGAAAGAAAAGAACTGTCAACCCAGAAATATACCCAGTGGACGTGTCCTTCAGTCTAGACAGTCTCAGATAAAGGAAATTATAAGAATTTGTTATTATCACTCCCCCAACAAACAAAACGAAACAAAAAAACAGAGGCAAAAGGAAGTTCTCTACTCAGAAAGGAAACAAAAAAGAGGAACTTTTTTAGCAATTGATTTAGATATTACATGTTATCTTCATAACTTATCACAGTCTACCAGTATCATATTTCTACGAGTTCAAAGGAAATGTAAAAGCCTTCCTTTCCTTTACATCTTCTTTTCCTTCCATTTATAAGTGTGTTAAACATTTCCTCAATATACATTTAGAACCACATCAATGATACTATAATACTTGCTTCAACCATCAAATATTCCTTTTAAAGAGTTCAGAAGTCAGTCTATTGTATTTATCCATACTATTGCGTACTGTGTTCTTTCATCCTTCTTGATGTTCTACTAACATGGTTTGATGTTCTAAATTTGAACATATACAGAATTAACTCAAATTGTATCAGATACCTAAATTTACAGCTAAAACTATAAAACTCAAGAAGAAAACAAAGGGGTAAACTTTTATGACCTTGATTTTAGTGATGATTTCTTAGCTACTACACCAAAAACTTGAGCAATGAAAGACAAAAATAGACACATTAGTTATCTTTTCTTTCTTTCTTTTTTTTAACAGAGATTTTTGCTATAGGACACAGGTGTTTGCTACAGAGAGACAGAGAGATAGAATGTCAGAAACTGCCCCCCAGAGGGAATGGCCACACCTCAATTCCTTTTCCTCCATTCTTCTCTTGGGATTTTGGTCACTCACACACACACGCCCGGTTGAGTTGCAAGCTGCCAGGTCCGATCTTGAACCGCAGTCAACTATGTGGGAGTCCAGTGGCATAACCATTATGGCATCTGCTGGTCCCAATATATTGGTTTTCATTGTCAGGTGAAAGATAATCCCGAGTCAAAGAAAAGATTTCAAATTATGTATCTGATCAGAGTTTATTATCCAGGTTATAAAAAGAGCAAAAAGACACATCTCAATTTTAAACAATAGGTAAATTATATACATGGACCTTTTCCCCAAAAAGATGTACAAAAAATGACTAAGAAACACATGAAAAGCTCACCATCATTAGCCATTAGGGACATGCAGATCAAAACCACAGTGATATATACCACTTCACATCCACTATGTGACTTTAATTTTTTTTTTAATGGAAAAACGGTAAGTGGAGGGACCAGCAGTTAGCGTAATGGCTATGTTGCTGGACTCCCATGTAGTCAACCATGGTTCAAGTCCTGGGCCCGGTGACTTAAACTCACGCCAGGCATGTGTATGCGCGTGCCCAAGATCCCGAGAGGAGAATGGAGGAGAAGGGATTGTGGCGTGGCCATCCCCCCTGGAGGGGTGATTTCTTGCTTTCTGTCTCTCTGTCTCTCTGGTGAGTGCACGCGCCCTATAGTAAAAACTTCTCAAAAAATAAAAAAATAGTAAGTGGAAAAAATTGGAAACCTCATACATTGCTGGTGAGAATGTAAAATGATGCAGCTTCTGTGCTAAACAGTTTGGAAGTTCCTAAAAATGTTAAACAGAATTGCTGTATAACCCATCAATTCCATTCCCAGGAATCTAATAATTTAAAGTATGAATTTAAACAAAAACTTGTATATGAATATGCACACCAGTACTATTCTCAATGGTCAAAAGGTGGAAACAGTTCAAATGCCTATACACTGAAGAATGGATAAATAAAATGTACATTCATACAATGAATATGGTTCTGCCATACATAGTAATGAATTTATGACACATGCCACAACATGGCTGAACTTTGAAAACATTATGCCAAGATAAAAAAGATACAAAAGGCCACATATTGTATGATTCTACTTATATGAACTATAATAGTCATATCCTTAGAGACAAGAAATAGATTAGTGGTTGTCAGGGACTGGGAGGGGAAAGTATGAAGAGTGATGCTTAATAAGTATAGAGTTTTCTCTCAAAGGGATGAAAATGTTCTGGAACTTTATAGAGGCACAACATTGTAAATGTGATAAATGCCACTGATTTGTATATTTTCAAATGGCTAAAATGGTGAATTTTATGTTAAATAAAATTTACCACCATAAAAATATCAGCATTTAAATGTAGTAAATAGTAAATAAATATATGAAAAGGTGCTCAACTTTATTAGGAATTAGGAAAATGCAAATTAAAAGCCCATAATGAGGGACCAGCAGATGGCTGGTCGAAGTAATGGTTACATTGTTGGACTCCCATGTAGTCGACTGTGGTTCGAGTCCTGGACTCCGTGGCTTGAAACTCATGCTGGGTGAGTGTGTGTGTGTGTGTGTGTGTGTGTGTGCCAAAAATCCCAAGAGAAGAACGGAGGAAAAGGGATTGTGGCATGGCCATTCCCCCTGGGCAGTGAGTTCTCACTTTCTGTCTCTCTGTCTCTGTCTAGTAAGCACATGTGTCATATAGCAAAATCTCTCTTAAAAAAGAAAAACATAATGAAATACTACTGTAACCCCAACCAGAAGGACTAAAATGAAAAACAGGTGGAAAATACCGAGTGTTAGCAAAGGTATAGAGGAACTGGAACTCTCACACTGTTCTGTGGGAGTGCAAATTGATATAACTACTTTGGAAAACTTTAGCAGAAACTACTAAAGTCAAACACATGGATACCCTAAGAGCTAGTAGAAATGTATACATTAGTTCACCAGAAGGTATGTACAAGAATTTTCATAGCAGTACTGTTATATCCAAATCTTAGAAACTATCTTAGTCTGGTGTTTTCATCACTAGCAGAAATACCTGATACTTGGTGATTTATAAAGATTATATTCATAGGGACCAACAGGTGGCATGATGGTTAAGGACACTGGATTCCCACATGGCTGAATGCAGTTCAAGTCTTGGACCTGGCGGCTTGCTCTCTCACTTTCCCTCTCTCTGCCTAATCAAAATCATAATCATAATCATAATAATAAAGTTAAATAAAATAATTTTAAAAAAGATTATTCTAATAAATATTATATTGTTTATGTTTGCTGCTTTTTAAAACTGTATAGTAATGGCATCATAATGTACATATACAAAGGATTTTCAAAAAGTTCATTGAAAGTAAGTATATTAAAAAATTATGCGGGGGACCAGTAGCTTAAGGGTAATGGCTATATCGCTGGACTCCCACGTAGTTGACCATGGTTCGTGTCCCAGACCCGGTGTCTTAAAGCTCACGCCGGGTGCGTGTGCGTGCGTGCCCAAGATCCCGAGAAGAGAATGGAGAAGAAGGGATTGTGGCATGGCCATCCCCCCTGGGGGGTGATTTCTCGCTTTCTCTCTCTCTGTCTCTCTCTGTCTGTCTAGCGAGTGCACGTGCCCTATAGCAAAAACCTCTAAAAGAAAACAAATTATACATGGTTTTCAATTTTTTTTTGCACCAAAATACTCATACTTTTAAAAAAATGTTTATTATTATTATTTATACATTCTATAACTATACATCATTTACATTATAAAGAGACTTTACCCAGCATGATCTACAACTCAGTGCTCATATTCCATTATTTTCACAAATTTTTGAAGTCCCCTTGTATGTATGGTAATATTATTTTTAAAAAGAGGTTATGATAACTTAAGGATAGTGGTTGCTTCTGGTGACAAAGGAGACAAAGAATTAGAAGAACACATGTATGGAGGCTAGTTATGAATAATGTTAGTTTTTTGTGGGGATGATTTCAGTGTATTTATAGTCCATGTATTAAATCTGTTACATATACTTTTATATCAAATATTATATGACAAAAGTGAAATAAGATTAAAGTTTTTAGGTTATATATCTCAGACCAACATCTTGTGATATTTTTCAGCAATAAAATTTTATAAGTATCTATAAATATCAGAGTTTAATAAAAATCTAAAGTTTTATAAATGTCTGTGGAGAAAATAAACAACAAGGTCATTTATAGTAGCTTCATCTGTTAGTCCAAAACTGAAAACAATCCTTATAATGGAATAGTACTCAGCAATACAAAGGAACAAATTACTGATACATGTGACAATGAGGATTATCCTAAAAAAAAAAAAGTACTCCAAGTGAAAGATGCTGACCCAAGAGAGTAAATATTATTTGGGCTCCACTTAAAGAGAATTCTAAAAAACAATTGAAAATCTATATTAGCAGAAAGTAGGTCAAGGGGATCTACCAGTGATAAGAAAGGATTAGGGGAACCAGCAGTTAGCATCATGGCTGTGTCGCTGGACTCCCACGTAGTCGACCGCGGTTCGCGTCTTGGACCCGGTGGCTTAAATCTCACGCCGGGCGCGTGTGCGTGCGTGCCCAAGATCCCGAGAGGAGAATGGAGGAGAAGGGATTGCGGCGTGACCATCCCCCCTGGGGGGTGATTTCTCGCTTTCTGTCTCTATGTCTCTGTCTGTCTGGCGAGCGCACGCGCCCTATAGCAAAAACCTCTCAAAAAAAAAAAAAAAAAGAAAGGATTAGCATGAAGTAAATGCTTGGGTGATGGAAATGTTCTAAAACTGAATGATAGTATTGGTATGACAACTATAAATTTACTAAAAATTTTCAAACTGTATACTCATAATGGATGAATCTTGGAGTATGTAAACTATATCTCAATAAATCTGTTAACAAGGTAAAGTAGTCAGTTACTATCTTTCTCTTCCAGAAAAAAATCAGTTGGCTATATATATGGGGGATCTGTTTCTGGAATCTACTATGTTCCACTGATATGTGTGTCCATGTTTCACCCATCAAAGGCACAATAATTTTACTATTGCTTTTGAATGAAACTTAATGTTAGGTCATTTGAATCTTCCAATTCATTTTGAGTTATAGTATTCTTTTTGTAGAGCCTTTCAGATTTTTACATAGTCAATAATTTGATCTGCAGATAGAAAGAATTTTATTTTCTTTTTCAGTATCTATTTTTCTTTCTTCCCATATTGCCGTGATTAATACTTCCAGTATTATGTTAAATAAGAATGGTGAGAATGAACATTTTTTATTTGTTTCTGACCTTAGGGCAAAAATATTCGATCTTTCACTATTATGTATATTAGGCAATATCTGCAGTTTGTTCCCAGATGCCCTTTATCAATCACATTGAAGAAGTTTCCTCTGTTCCTAGTTTATTTATTTATTTATTTATTTGAAGAGGTTTTTTTGCTATACGGCGCATGCACTCGCCAGACAGAGACAGAGAGACAGAAAGCGAGAAATCATCCCCCAGGAGGGATGGCCACGCTGCAATCCCTTCTCCTCCATTCTTCTCTCGGGATCTTGGGCACGCATGCACTCGCGCCTGGCATGATTTTTAACCCACTGGGTCCGGGATGCGAACCGCAGACAACTACATGGGAGTCCAGCGACATAGCCATTACACTAACTGCTGGTCCCGTCCTCTGTTCCTAGTTTATGGAGATGCTTTCTCTTTTTTTAATGAATGGATGGTAAATTGTGTCAAATGCATTTTCTGCATCTATTGAGATGATCATGTGGCTTTTCTTTAATTTGATATTATGGTGAATTAAATACGGTGACATTATTTTCACTGTCCTTATATTTATGATTTAGCCATGTACTATCCTTTCTATATGTTGCTTGATTGGATTTGCTAATATGTTGTTGATGATTTTTATGCCTGTGCTCATGAGGGATATTGGTTTATAACTCTTACTTGTGATTTATTTTTTCTGGTTTTGATGCCAGAATAATATGTTCGGAAGTATTCTATCCTCTTCTATTTTCTAGATGAATTTTTATAGAATTGATATTAGATAATTTATACCAAATAATGATACATTTTAACTAGGCTTAAGAATCTGCTTTTGTATTTTGAAACTTAATTTTACTGTGACATTCATTTTATATTTATCTTAATCTAAATATTGTCATTTATTCATAGAGAGTAAATGATTTTACATAAGAAATTGTTCCTTTTCCAAAAGCCATTTTTTGTTGCTCTCTATTACACATAAAATCTTCCGATAAGATTTAAGGAGCTTTTTTTTCTTCTAATATTTAGATTTAGTGTATTGTTTAAAAAATAATCCATTGCTTTGAACTGATAAATGTTTATCATATGTTAGTTTTTATTAAAATGGTATTTTTGAATAAAATTTTAACAATAACTGAAGTTTTATATATTTGGAGTGATTTTTTAACAAAGTTTAATTAATGCTAATTTATTTCTTATCTAGTCATGCAGATGGATCAATAAAATTTTGGGATGCTTCTGCAAGTAAGTTTTAAGTTTTTCCCTGTATAATAGAATTGGTTAATATTTAGTCATAACCACCCACCACTTTTTAATTTGAGCAGTTAAAATTTTATATATTTATATATATATTTTAGTATACATATACATTTATGTTACAAAAATATATATCCTATATTGCTAGACTAGCTTAAACTTTTACACTACATCTTTTCTTCAATAACATGAAATGATCCAGACTAAGTTAATCTTTGTCAGCAGCCCATTTTCTCTACTCAAGGCATGGTACATTGGGAAAAGTACCAAATTTTGTCATATTACCTGTGTTCAAGGACTTTTGTACCTGTGTGGTGTTGAACAAGTGCATCTGTACCTTTGGCATCTGTTGAACAAGTGCATCTGTACCCCTTTCTCCCCTACTTATCTACCAAGTATTGTGAGGACCAAAAGAATTGATTTGAGAAATGTCAAAATTCTTTAAAAATTAAGAATTATGTAATTTAAGGAAAAAATAAGGTATTCTTCTCAAGGACGTGCAAACATACTTAAGACTTCATTATGCTTATACACACACCTTCTGAAAACCTGTACTGACTAGAATAGATAACTTCAAGGCAAACAATATGATAAGAACTCTAAATGAAAAGCAACCTGAATTCTATTTGTTGTCAGAAAAGGAAAAGATTTATTTGGACCAGGTAAATCCAGGAAGAGGATTTTAATAGGGTAACATATAAGAAAAAAGCAAAACATTTAAGGGACCCAGAATGGAAAGAAATCTGTTGATTATAATGTTTATGGCAATGTCTTTGACTGGAATATGTGCAATATATTTATGATGGGAAAATTCATTTAGTGTGCTATAATTTATACCAAAAATGATACACAGTGATTAAATGTATGAATTTTTTAAAAATACTAACAATTGGAGATAAGAGTTAATAATGACTCCACATTTCTGAGGATGAGTAACCAGGAAGATGTAGGTAACTCTTTTGGAAATAAGGAATACAAGATAGCGTTGGAGGTTTGAATTTTGTAGTAATACCAGAAAATCCAAGTAAACATTTCCAGCAAATACGGAGACCTATCAGGAATGGAAACTAATGAAAAGGCAACATAAAAGTGATACATGAGGGACAGCAGATGGTGTAATGGACTTGACTATGACTGGAGTCCTGGATCCAGTAGCTTAAAACACATCAGGCATGTGTGCGTACGTGCCCAAAATCTCAAGAGAATGAAGAAGGGATTGTGGCATGGCTGTCCCCGCTAGGGAGTGATCTCTTGCTTTCTGTCCCTCTCTAGAATCTCTCTGGTAAGCGCACATGCCCTATAACAAAAATATCTCTTAAAAAAAAAAAAGTGATACATGAGGCTAGAGGGAAACTAAAACAAACAAAAAAGGCTGAATATTGACGATACTCTTAGCCCACAAGGTAGTCTCTCAGCAATCAAGCAAACCATGATCAAAATAAAAAGTTGAAAAGATTTTAAAGCCCTGAGTTCTGAAGTTTCTTTACAACTTCACACAGGAGAAAGCAAGTGCTTAAGGGGAAGCTCTAAAGGGCAAAAGAGTTTCTTTTGATAAATGTATTCATGCAAATCTGAGTTTATTACAGGAACAAAATTAATTGCATAGGGATGTCACTGCTCCTCTCTCAACACTTTAAAGTCATCCTGAACTTCTAAAATATGAGAGGACACTCTAATTATTAGAGTGTGTACTACCATTAAGTATACACAATATTTAGGTTTAAATAAAACATAATTTCATTATATTCAGAATATAAACTAGGAAGTATTTTAGCATGTTCAATATTTTTTACTATAGTGAATCATAAGGGCATATCTCCAACCTAATGGATGTCACTGGAGAAATATCACTTAATATGCTAATTTTGTGAACTACTGTCTCCTAATGGAAGTGTGATGAATTTTAATGAATGGAATTGTTTTTTTGCTACTACATTTATTAGTTTTCTACTTCCAGGTAATAAATCACCACAATTCAACAGCTTAGAACAACACCCATTCATTAACCCACGGTTCCTATGTATTACCAATCTGATTACTGTTAGCCTAGTCCTTTGCTCAAGGTCTCACAGAACTATAGTCAAGATATTGGCTGGGGTTATAGTTTTACCTCAGGCTCAAGGCTCTCTTCTAAGTTTATGTGGTTGGTAGACTTTATTTTCTTCTGTCTTCAGAATTCACAGTAGCTTGCAACTTTAAAGTCAGTAAGAAAGTGTCTCTCTCCTATCAGAGCCCCAGTTCTTCTTTTACAGGGTTGGCCTAATTGGGTCAGGCCCATTAAGGATAATCTGTTAATTAACTCAATGTTAACTAATTAGTGGCCTTAATTATGACTCCAATATTCTTTTACCCTTGTCTTGTAACATAAAATGGTTGTGATAGTGATATCCTATCTGAGCTCAGGAGCCAGGCTATAACATCTACAATGACTTTCCCATTTTAAAAACTTTTTTAGCTTGATATAATTTTGAGTTTAGAGAAAAAATTAAAAAGAAAATACTAAGAGATGTTGTGTTCAGTCTGATTTCCCAAATGTCAATGCATGCATTTATTTTCTCCTATTTTCCATTCTCCCTTTCTCTCTCTCCATTCTCTCCCTCTTGTTTTTCTTTTCTCTGCCTTCTATATGGTCTCTCCCTCTCCGACTCTCTCTCTCCATCTGTCACATACACATGCACACACACACACACACACATACAAATGTACATATATAATATAGCTGTTTTGTAACCTTTTGAGAATAAGTTGTAGACAGAATGTTCCTCTAATACTACATACCCTAAATGTATCAATGTGTATTTCCTGCAAACAAGGGCATTGTCTTACATAACCAAAGTGTTGTCACCAAAAATCAGGAGATTAACACTGATAAAACACAATTATCTAATTTCTGTATCTTACTCAGTTTTCACCAATTGTCCTAATCATATCCTTTATAACAAAAGAAAATCTAGGATCATTGTTGTATTTGGTCCTCATATTTTGTGAGTTTTTTAAAAATCTAGAATAGTACTTGAGTATTTAATTTCATGACATGAATATTTTTGAGAAGTTCAGGACAGTAATTCTGTAAAATCGCCTTCAATTTGGGTTTAACCTAGTTTTTATTGTGATTAGATTTAGATTGTGCAGTTTGGGAAGGAATTTCTCATTTTGAAACTTTTCTCAAGGATTCTTCATATAAATCATTTTTATATGAAAATTATTATCAACATAGTCTCAAGTGGAAAAATATCTCCCCCCAATATAATAAATATTCTTGTTAATAATATACAAATCAAGAGTTTTATGAGATTATATCTGACCCTTTCTTTACAAAGAGACACTCAGAAAAGATTTTATCTAAAATAATTACCAATTATTGGATTCCTAGTATTATTATCTGGTAAATTACAATGTTTCTCAGCTGAGGGAATGTCTAAAAATTTGTTTAAAGGAGTAAACTCTCAACAAGTGAAGAAAGCAATAATTTCTTATCTAGCAATCAAAGGTGAAAGTATTGAATAAGGATTGAGGAATCTCCTATAAGGGAGAATTATATTCAGTATTTCCAGTGTAAACATTCTTAGCTCTGATATTTTCATTATAAACAGGGATAAAAATGCCCTGAGGATCACATGACAAATCATCTATATATTCCTTAGTATATAATATCTGTTCAATAAATGTTTTAGCTTTAGTTTTCCTGTGGTTTCCTTTTAACTCCTGTACTGATATGAGAGCATGGTACCAAGTGCTTGCCATTTAAGATGTAATTCATGTTGTCTGCTTAGGTTTTACTTTTATGGTTCCACAGTTACATCAAAAAAGCTTTAGCAACATCTAAGAACTAAGTTTAACTTGGAAGATAACTGTGCTTTAATATTTTATAGTAACTTTGCAGATGCTATACAAGCTAAAAACTTCAAAAGTATTTGAAAAACAGAAGATAGGAGAAGGAAAACAAACATGTGAAATTGTAGAGGAAGATCCATTTGCGGTTCAGATGATTTACTGGTGTCCAGAGAGCAGAATACTCTGTGTCTCGGGAGTCTCTGCATATGTCATAATTTATAAGTTCAGCAGACATGAAATTACAACAGAAATAGTGGTAAGTCACTTAAAATTTAACTTTTACACATCAATTATTTTTAAAAAGCTATTATAATGGATTTGGGCTACTAGTTATTATGGCTTTAAGCCATCAAGAATGATGTTATGTATCCAGTTATACAATTCATAAGATTTTTAATTATTAATGTTAGTTAACATATTTAAAAGATCATTTGGCTTAAAATCACAAAAATAGTTCTCTATCAAACTTGGTATTTTAAAAATCAATGTCAAAAAAGTGCTTTTCTTGAAATTCTATTTTATTTTTATTCATAATAGAGAATATGTATGTGTGTATGAACAGGGAGAGAGACAGAGACAGAAAGCACCACCTAAAGGGACCTGCAATAATCCTTCTTCCTCCAGTTCTCTATCTCTAAAGATCTTGGGCATGCACCCACATGCCACGAGTAAAGCCAATGAGGTCAGGATTAGAACTCCCGTTGGCCATATAGAATCCAGCTTCCTCTGTGCACTACCTAATTGCTGTACTACTAGGCCAGCCCAATGTAGTATTTTAAGTAAATCTTGTTGCAAAATAAAAATGTTATATATTTGTCATTTTTATCTTCAATGTTATACAAGTTGCAACTACCTGGCCAAAATAAGTCAATTCCTTCTAATACCCATATAATTAATAATAATAACCCAAATTTTAACATTAGTTATTTTTATTTTTACTGACAAATAAAAATTGTATAAATTTATATCATGCAATATGATTTTTTGAGATCTGTATGATTGTGGGATATATATTTCTATATACCTGTGTATGTGTGTGTGTGTGTGTGTATAATATATAGGTATTACACAGTAATTGATTTATCTTTAAAAGTAAAATTAATGGTGGCTTTGTTCTTTATTTTTCTTAATTTTTATGTTTATCTGATTTGTGTTTTCTTAACTAAAAGCCTTAAATATTAATTCTCAACTGTAGTAAGATTATTTAATTATCTTCTATTTAGCAATATATTTTGCAGGGTAGAAATAATTATGGGGTGGGTCAGCAGATGGCATGGAGTTTAAGTGGCTGGATCCCACATAGCCAATTGTGCTCTGGACCCTGCAGCTTGAAAAACATGCAGGGTGCATGTATGTATGTGCCCCAAATCCCTAGAAGATAATGGAGAAGAAAAGAATTGCAGTGTGTCCCTCCCTTCTTGGAGGGTGATTTCTCACTTTCCTTCTTTCTTTCTCTGTCTCTATCTCTGGTGAGAGCACTCATCCTATAGCAAAAATTTTTTAAAATAAAAAATAAAAAGATAAAGACTTATGGGGCTATTTACCTATTCTTACTTTTAAAACCAGTGAAAAACCAATGAAACAGTCTACTCAAAATAATGATTTTTTTTTATGAGATAGACTAAATTTAGTTTAAGGTGCCTGTAGACAAATTGTCCTATTCCATTATACACTGTTGGCCTGTGTTTAAGTGTGTGTGTTTTTAACCTCAGACAGCTAAAGTTAATATTGCCCTTTTATAATATATTAGTTAAAAATATACACTTCGAAGTCAGATAAACCTAGGTTTTGTTTTTGTTTTATTATTGCCAGAAGGCATGTACACTTCCAGAAATAAAGTAAGAGACAGAGATAAGGAAAAAGTTCCCCACAATGAGATGTGGAGAGTGGCCATGCCACAATCCCTTTTCCTCCATTTCTCCATTCTATTGCTATTCTGGGCACACACACACAAGTACCCAGTGTGTTTCTCAAGCCATTGGGGGTGGGACTTGAACCCCAGTTGACCATATGGGATCTGTCTCTCTTTGTCAGTAGACCTCAGAGCTGGCCTAAACTTTGGTTTTAATTCTAAGTTTACCATGACATTCGTGTGACTTTAAGAAAGTCACAAGGTTGCTAGTCAGTAGTAAAGTCTGGACAAGTTTCAATTTTATCACCTATGTAATTTTCCACGTAAATAAAATGGAAAAAAATATAAAAGAAAAATAACCCAGGAATACTAACACCCATTTCATAGGATTTTCATGATGATTATATAAAGACATCAGCATAGTGTCTAAATGTAGTAAATGCTCAATAATTGATAATTACATTGTCACAACTAGAGATTTTCTTGTAATTTTAAGATAACATTGACGGGAGGCTGGCAGGTGGTGTGATTAAGTCACTGGATGCCCACATGGCCCACTACTGTTTGAGTCTGGGACCTAGAAGTTTGCTTTCTCATTTGCCATGCTTTTCTCTCCCCCCATCTCTCTCTGTTCAAATTGAAGAATAATATTTATTTGTTTGTTTATTTATTTATTTATTTAAAAAGGTAACTATGATGTAATTTTGGTAATATTGCTGTATTCTCCATCCATAACATTTGTTATAAGCAATTGTTTTTCATCTCAAAAAATGCTCATTTTTACATTGTGGGGCAAATATTTACTGTAAAATCAGTCTTAAATAAAGTGTTTAATGTAGTCAGAAGTATTTAATTTTAAAACATTTTTAGTTTATAAAAAGGCTTTTTTGTTTTGTTTTGTTTTTAATAAAAAGGTGTTTTGATCACCTTTTCATTCCTATGTATATTAGCTTTCTATCACATAATTCTGACCAAATGAATGGAACATAAACAAGAAAGAGTAATGAAACAAACACCAAAAAAAATATTTATTTTGGGAAAGTTTTAGTGAATTAATGCAAACTCAAAATGATATGGATGTTTTTTAAACTAAAATACTTTGTATAAATAATGATTTCATACACACACTCTCACATACACATGCATGCACACACTCATCTGGTTTAATTTCTTTCACTGAAACAAACATGACCAATTTCTCCTTTTATTTTTCCATGTATTAAATTATAGTTTATTTTGTAGTTTATGCTTTATGTTAAAAAATATTTATTATATAAAATCTTTATCTCCAGTGGTAGGTAGTTTTTTTTATAATTCTGAAGGATTTTTAAAAATTTACATTTTTTGTGATTACTACTGAATATGCCATATAACTCACTACTAAATTCAGTTTGGGATACTACTCAACTTTACTGTAAATTGAAATTGAATTTATTAATCTGAAAAATAGAAAAGAATTGCTAAAAAGTTTTCAGATATTTTAATATGATTTATTATTATGACTTTTGTTTTTTTAAGTCATTAGAGGTACGACTTCAGTATGATGTTGAAGATATTATTACCCCTGAACCAGAAACGAGTCCTCCGTTTCCAGATCTCTCATCCCAGCTTCCTTCAAGAAGTCTTTCCGGGAGCACTAACACTGTGGCTAGTGAAGGAGTAACTAAGGACAGTATACCATGCCTCAAGTAAGAGTTGCTGTCAAATTTTAAAAATAATTTTACTTATTAATTATCTAAGTCTTTGAAACTCTGATAAATAAAATCATTCCTCTCCGAAGCTGTTGTAAAGTGATCTACAGTCCTCTAAAGGGTATCCTTTTTTCTTTCAACATCTATGAAGAGGGTACAATAGTTTCATCTTTCATATATTTCCTTCTTAGAATGATCCTAAGGACAACATGGGGTGGGGAGCCAGCAGGTTGTAGTGGTTAAGGCACTGGATTCCTACATGCCTGACTGTGGTGCTAGTCCCCCCTAGTCCCCCACCTCCTGCTTTAAATTCCAGCCAAGCCTGTATGCCTGTTTGCCCCAAATCCTGAGAGAATAAAGAAGAGGTTGCAGCATGCTCCACCCCCAGTAGGGGTGTGATTTCTCACTTCCTCCCTCTCCCTCTCTGTCTCTCTGGAGCACATGTGCCCTACAGCAAAAATTTCTATTAAAAAAGAAAAGAAAAGAAAGAAAAGAAAAGAAAAGAAAAGAAAAGAAAAGAAAAGAAAAGAAAAGAAAAGAAAAGAGAAAAGAAAAGAAAAGAAAAGGAAAGAAAAGAAAAGAAAAGAAAAGAAAAGAAAAGAAAAGAAAAGAAAAAAGAAAAGAAAAGAAAACAATGTGTTTGTTTGGTTTTTAAGGTTTTTTGTCACTGGGAGGGTGTGCTTGCCAGAGAGAGACATAGGTAAGAAAAGTGAGAAATCACCCCCCAGGGGAATGGCCACACTGCAATCTCTTCCATTCTCCTCTCAGGATCTGGGGCATGGGCCAGTGTGGTTTTCGAGCTGCCAGGTCAGGGACTTGAAGTGTGGTTGGCCATGTGGAAGTTCAGTGCCTTAACCACTATGCAACCTGCTGGCCCGCAAAACATGGCGCTGATACGAAGGGAAGTTTGGCAGCATAGAAACTTGGGCACTCTCTTGGTACCTTCCAACTGAAGAGTATGTTTCTGGAATTTCTTTAGCCTTTCTGGAATCAAAAAGAAAACCTAGTTTAGCAACTACCAAAGAGTACTATATTAGAAAAAAAAGGATTTCTCTCATGATTGCTAGTATATTACCTATTGTTTCTTTTTTCTAACTATTGCTATTTTTAAATTAATTGTGTTATCAGAATATATCTAATGAAGTTTAGCATAATAATAAAATGAAACATTAAGTTACTAAAACCCATAGTAATATTTATCTTGTTTGTAAGCTATTTAATAATAAGAGTTTAAATTATTAATTAACTGTTTCTACATCATCAAACCAGTGTCTCTAGTGTTAACTCGTTAGAGAATTAAACCTAAGCAAGGCTGTCATTCCCATTTGAAAATATCTACATCTGCTACTCAAGGAACTTTAGACAGTTAGTTCTCTTATTTTTATGAAAACATGGAAATTCTAGAGATAAGATTTCAGGAATAAAATCCATACAATTAGAAGTGGCTATACTTTAGTAATCATTGATTTTCCTTCCCAAACATTTCCTATGAAGTTTTTTTAAAAAGGAAAAATAAATAGAAAAAAACTTACCAAAGGTTATGAAAGTAAAGTGAGAATGATTTAATCTAAGTATTTTTCTACAAAATTAAAAAATGTTAAAGGTAGGGACTTAAAAGACAGGATGAAAGAAAGGCCAGGAAAATCAATGAAGTTCTAGTAGTGAAGATGAAGTAAGGAGTAATTATTGTTGAAATGTAATATTGTTGACTTGAAAAATAGTGAAGATAATCTTCAGGATAATTAAGAGAACCAAAGGGAATAGTATATTATGTAGTTAGTGGCTAGGAACCAAGCAACATAACCGGTTCAAATATGTTATTTTCTGAGTTACATTATATAACAAATGATTCTTGAGTTGTATATAATCTGTGCTTTGCTAAATTACCCACTGATACCCATCCCTAAATTACGTTCCTGTGCTAAATTTAGGTTCATACATTAGTTGATAAATAGGAATTTCAGCTAACCAACTCTTCATTTTTACCAATATTACAACTCTTATCTATATAAATACTTGTGTAATTGATTATTTTGTGATTCCTAGTGTACAAAGTAGGCAGCTCTCAGAGACCTCATTAAGATGTTGAGCTGTAAATGAAAGTTTAAAAGAAGCTGAGAAAGTTAGCCAAATAATATCTTAAGAAAAAGTGTTTTAGACAGAAGGACTAGCTAGAGCAAAGACCTTAGCAAAGTGCTTAGAAAATTTGAGTAACAGTAACAAGGTCAGCATAGCTAGAGGTGTGTGTGTGTGTGTGTGTGTGTGTGTGTGTGCTCATGCACACGTGTGAGTGTTCGCAGGGCCTCAGAGGATAGGGTAGTAGGACATAGGTAACAGAGGGCTTGTCACAGAAGGCAGGGATAAAAGTCAGATAGGCAAGGGGACCAGCAGTTAGCTTAATGGCTGGGTTGCTGGACTCCCCTGTAGTCAACTGCGATTCTAGTCCTGGACCCAGTGGCTTAAATTCATGCCAGGTACGTGTGTGTGCATGCCCAAGATCCCAAGAAGAGAATGGAGGAGAAGGGATTGCGGCATGGCCATCCCCCCTGGGGGGTGATTTCTCGCTTTCTGTTTCTCTGTCTTTCTGGTGAGTGCACACGCCCTATAGCAAAAACCTCTCCAAAAAAAAAAAAAGTCAGATAGGCAATAGAGGACCAGTTATAGGCTTTTTATTCCCAATGGAAAATGATGTGGAATCATTATCAGGTTTTGAATAGAGAAATGACATGACCAGACTACATTTTAAATAGATCACTTTTTACTGGCTTTGTTAAAAATGGATTTGGGGATGGAGAGAAGGGAGGAAGGTAGGAGACCACTTAGGTAGCTATTGGACTTCCATGCTTAGCAAATAAAATAGAGACTAGCAGTTAGCGTAATGGCTATGTTGCTGGACTCCCATGTAATCAACCACAGTTCAAGTCCTGGACCCGGTGGCTTAAACTTAGCAAATAAAATATAGAGTGCATATTTAAGTTGGATTTTCAGATAAACAATGAATATTGTTTTTACTATCAGTACATCCCAAACATTACATTTGACATATTGATATTTTAAAGAGCTATTTATTGTTTATTTGAAATTTAAATTTATATAGGCATCCTGTTTGTGTGTGTGTGTATGTGTGTGTGTACGTGCGCGCACGCGTGCGCATGTGTCTATATGTAGTCAGCTATAACTAGGGTGGGGCAATAGAGAAGTAAAAAGGCTCAAGCTCAAGTTCTGGATATATTTTGAACATAGCAAATGTAGCATCAGCAGTAACATTTGACAATTAATTGAATGTGAAGGGTGAGAAAGGATATAAGTCAAAGATGATTTTAAGTTTTTTTTTTTTTAACTAAATAACTAGAAGGATAGGAGTTACTGTCAACTGGAATACAGAAGGATATAGGTGAAATAGGTTAAGAGGAAAGGAGCAAAAATTCAGGTTGGGTATGCTGATTGGGTGGTAACATAATAAGCATTCTTTCTAATATTACACTATAGGGACCAGCAGATAGTGTAATGGTTATGTCCCTGAACACCCATGTAGTCGACTGTGGTTCAAGTCCTGGACCCAACAGCTTAAGAATATGCTGACCACGTGTGTGTGTGCCCAAAAACCCCAAAAGGAGTATGGAGGAGAAGGGATTGTACCATGGCCATCCCCCCTGCGGGGGGAGGATTTCTTGCTTTTTGTTTCTCTGTCTCTGTCTCTCCAGCGAGCTCACATACCCTATAGCAAAAGTCTCCCTAAAAAATATATACTTTATAACTTATATGTATGTAACAAATATTACATATGAAAAATAATTATATAATAAAATAATTAAAAATGCTGTCCTCAAAAGAAAAAATAAAGGAAGTGATGAAGACCTGACTAACTAAAATCTACTTACAGAAAAACTAAACAGTCTTAAGTGGCTTGGTATACTTTGAGAAAGCTAGAAGACAATGGCCACCTGAGTGCTTTCCCCAGTGCTTTTGTGTATATTTTTATACGATAATTCTATGTACATTCTCAAGATAAGCATGAGTATGCCTATTGAACAGTATATGATAGAATGATTATTATTTTCTTTCTTCTAGTGTTAAGACACGACCAGTGCGGATGCCTCCAGGATATCAAGCAGAGCTTGTTATTCAGTTGGTTTGGGTAGATGGAGAACCTCCCCAACAGATTACTAGTCTTGCTGTAAGCTCAGCATATGGAATGTAAGTAATTAAACTTTCCTTCTGATTTGTGTTATTTAACTAATATGGTGGATTTTTTTTAGATGTTTCTTTTTTTTTTTTTTTTTTTGAGAGAGAGAGCTTTTTACTATAGGGCACATGTGCTCGCCAGAAAGACACAGAGAGACAAAGAGACAGAAAGTGAGAAATCATCCCCCCCAAGGGAGATGGCCACGCCATGATCTCTTCCCCTCCATTCTCCTCTTGGGATCTTAGGCATCCACGCACATGTGCCTGACGTGAGTTTGAGCCACCGGGTCCGGGATTTGAACCATTGTCAACTACATGGAAGTCTAGTGACATAGCCATTATGCCAACTGCTGGCCCCTAGATGTTTCTTTTAAAATACTCTGACCCTAAATATGGAATGAAGCACTTAATTGGATGTTTTTATTAAATTGAACATAGTATAAGAAAAATAATAATTTAAATTTAAATTGTGGTTATTTGTTCTTTCCTGATGTTAAATTTGTTACAGTGTTCTCACTTTTGGTGTTACTAGGGGATTGTTAGGTTGTTATTACACTCATACATTTTTGTTTCTTTTTTAAAAAAATTTTTCTCCTTTTGTTTCATTTAAAATTTTTTTTTCCTAAGAGAGACTTTTGCTATAGGGCACATGGGCTTGCCAAAGTGACAGAGAGACAGAGAAACAAAAAGTGAGAAATCAGCCCATGGGGGGATGGTCTCACTGCAATCCCTTCTCCTCCATTCTCCTCTCGGGGCTTTGGGTACACACTCACAAGCACCTGGTGTGAGTTTCAACCACCAGGTCTAAGGCCTGAACCATGGTTGACTACATGATAGTACAGTGACATAACCATTATGCATCTGATGGTCTCAATTTTTTTTTTTTGACTAGTGATTTAGAATTCACTAATTCTCTTCAACTGTTTCTAATTTAATGGTGGACTCTCCATTCAATTTCGGTTGTCTTATTTTTTAGTTCTAGACCTTTCTTTCAATTCTTCTTTTAAAAATATTTACTTATTCTTTTTTAATTGGACCAAAAAGAAAGAGAGAGAGAGAATGAAAAGGCAAACTGCCTGTTCTGGGACTCAAACTGTAGTTGACCATGTGAGATTTCAGTGCCTTACCCATCACTTCACCTGCCAGCACTCTTTTAGTTCTTTTTTTTTTTTTTTTACACTTTTTTTTTGAGAGGTTTTTGCTATAGGGTGTGTGCACATGCCAGAAAGACAGAGAGAGACAGAGAGATAGAAAGTGAGAAATCACCCCCAGGGGAGATGGCCAATGCCCAGCAAGAGTTTAAGACACCAGGCCTGGGACTCCAACCGTGGTAGACTACATGGTTATCCAGCAACATAGCCATTACACCAACTACTGGTCCCAGTTCTATTTTTTTTTTTTTTTTTTTAAGAGAGAGATTTTTGCTTTAGGGCACTTGCACTCACCAGAGAGACAGAAACAGAAAGTGAAAAATTACCCCATGGAGGGATGGTCAAGCCACAATCCCTTCTCTTCTATTCTCTTCTTGGAATCTTAGGCATGCAGGCACACACGTGTGCCCCATGTGAATTCTTTTGTTTGTTTAGAATTATTTATTTTTAATTCCATTTGTTATTATTTTTAATTTGATCAAAGAGACAGAGCAAGAGAGAAAAGGAAAGGGAGAAAGCAAGCTGCGAAGTCTGGGACATGAACCACAATCGGCCATGTTGGAATCCAGGGCCTTTAACCTCCAACCCCCATCCCCCAGTCCCCCTTGCCTCTCCTTGACCGTTAGTTTCAAGTCGCCGAGGCCGGAACTTGAACCACAGTCGACTTCGTGAGAGTTGAATAATGTAACCATTATGCCATCCACTGGTTCCTTTTTTTGGGGAGAGGTTTTTGCTATAAGGTGTGTGTGCTCGTCAGAAAGAGTAAGACAGAGTGACAGGAAGTAAGAAATCACCCCCCAGGGAGGATGGCCACACAGCAATCCCTTCTCCTCCATTCTCCTCTCGGGATCTTGGAAAATGCATGCATACGCGCCCAGCGTGAGTTTAAGCCACTGGGTCCAGGACTGGAACCACAGTCAACTACATGGGAGTCCAGCGTCATAGCCATTATGTCAACTGCTGATCCCCATCCTCTGGCTCTTTTAAGGATTCCTGTTCTCTCCCTAAATTATCATTCTCACCTTTTATTTTCTTGAACATATTCAATGTAATTACTTTAAATTTGTGTTTGATTATATTATATTTGATAACTAGTCTATTACTTGTCTTGGTTTATTGGTCACACTATATTATGTTTATGTATGCCAATTTGTTTTTGTTTATTTGTATATTTATTCTTCCTTTTTTTGATACATAAACATTATGATTTAAGATTCTAGATGATGTTATTGTCCTTGAAAAGTATTTACATTTCCTCTGAAAGTCTAGGTTAAGAGGCCATAGAAGACTCAGAAAAACTTAATCCAGGCAAATGTCGTGTGGAAGATATATGTAAGCAATAGATATTGGTCACTTTCTTCTTGAGAAAATTCTTTGCCAGGAAAGCTAGCAACAATAGCTGATGAATGAAAAGAGAGGATTAAGGTACTATGGGACAGCCTGTAGTACCATTATTTGATATGATAATAATGCGTGATTATATGTATCACACAATGGATTTTCATGGCTCTCTTTTCAAGAGATTGACTTGCAAAGTCAAGGGGACATCAGAATGAAGAGCCTATGAAAATGTGTCATATGGTTCAGGAGCTAAAGTTTATTAGAATAGGTCACTTAGAAGACACATTTCCCACATAAGGGAATTATGGAGGAGATAGTCTCTGAAGAACCTATGCTTGTATGAGAAAGACAACACAGGCAACTGCCTAATGCCTAACAAAAATAATCCTAGCTCAAGGAGCTACTGAAGTAAATTCCACCAACTTTTTAAGAAATAAATAATACAACTATTATACAAAATCTTTCTGAGGATTACAAAAGACGAAACCATGTTTATCTTATTTCACAAGGGCAACATAACTTAATGCCAAAACTTAAAATGGCCTTTACAAGTTCAGAAAATTATAGGTTCATATTGTACATGGAGATAGATGCTAAAGTTGCAACCAAAATATGAATAAATTTAGCAATAAAAAATAATATAAGTTTGGTTTACCCTAGGAATACACTTAACACTTTAAGTAAATCAGTGTAATATATTAACAGAAGAAAGTAGAAAAACTGTATGATTAAATCAGGAATGCAAAAAAAAAAAGCACCTGATAAAATTCAACATTCATTCATGATTTGAAAAGAAATAGTCAAACAACTAAAAAAAAAAAAAAAACCAAAAAACAATCACTTAACTGATCATTGTGACTAATAGCAAACTTTATGGTAAATTAGTAGAAGCTTTATATCTGAGGTAAAAACAAGACAATTACCTTGGTCCATTTGAGCTGCTTTAAGGTAACAACATACCTTACACAAGGTAATTTATAAACATCAAAAATATATTGCTCACAATTCTGGAGCACTGAGAATCAAAATCAAGGTATAAGCAGATTCAGTGTTTGGTGAGGGCTCATTCAAAGATGGCACGTTCTAGTTATCTCTTTACTTGGCGGAAGGGGAAAAAAGCTCTCTCAGGTCTCTTTCATAAAGACACTTAATCTTGTTCATAAGATTGGAGCCTTCATACCTAATCACCTCCAAAATGTTCTGTCTCTTAATATTGTCTTTCAGAGCTTAGGTTTTAATGTATGAATCTGGGGGAGACATGACATTCATACCATCATAACAAAATTGCTACTAACTCCACTTCTATTCACTGTGCTGATGGACCTAGACAAGGCAGTACAAGAAGAATAATAAATCAAAGGTTAATAGATTAGAGAAGAAGAAAATAGAAAAAAATCATGCTTGTGTACATACAACATGCAAACACTCAGCAAATAAATTATTGGAATTAGTGATTGAGGTTAAGATTGTTGGGTACAAAACTCAATATAAAAATAATTATATTTCCACATACTTAAAAATAATTAGTGAGACCAGAAGTTGGCGTAATGGTTATGTTGCTAGACTCCCATGTAGTCGACTGCAGTTTGAGTCCCGGATCCAGTGGCTTAAATTCACGCCGGGCGTGTGTGCATGCATGCCCAAGATCCTGAGAGGAGAATGGAGGAGAGGGGATTGCAGCGTGGCCATCCCCCCTGGGGGGTGATTTCTTGCTTTCTGTATCTCTGTCTCTCTCTATCTTTCTGGCGAGTGCACATGCCCTATAGCAAAAACCTCTCCAAAAAAACCCCAAAATTAATATTAAATTATATAAAAATAATAACTCGACTACAGTTGAATTTTTAAAAAAAGATCTAGGAATAAATCTAACAAGAGCTGTTTAAAACTATGACACAGAAAATTATGAAGCTTTAGATAAATCAAAGAATCTGATAAGCTGGAAAATTCAGTAATAATGTAGTGATATCAATTTTTCCCACAAATTGACCCCACAAATTTATAGATTCACAATATTCTCAATCAAAATTTCAGCATATTTCTTGCCTGGAAATTGAAAATTGGTTCTAAAATTTATAAAGAAAGGCAGTGTTATAATTAGCTAAGATAGTATTAAAGAAAACTAGATACGGGAGTTTTACTTTACTCTAAGAACAAAACTTATTACATAAAGCTTCATTAATCATCACAATGTTTTATTGGCACAGAATAACCAAATAGACCAGTGGATAGAATGAAGAATCCAGAAATAGATTCAGTCATACATAGCCAATTTACCTCTGTAGAGCAAGAAGAGAAATGACAACATTTTTTTCCTCCAATAAATAATACAAAGTCAATTGAATAATCATGTTGAAAAATGAAATTTAACTCTTCCTTCCCACTATACAAATACTCTAGAAAATATAATAGGAGAATATCTTCATAAAACTTTGGTTAAAAAACAATTTGGTGGTGGTAGGGTGCACAGCAGTTTAACACTGTGCTTAGAAAGATAGATCATTGCTGGCCACATTTTTTTTT